AAGGATTTGGGAATAACTCCTGAAAGGTTGTTGTAAGAGAGATCCAAGAATTCCAGGCTTATCAGATTTCCAAATGACTCGGGAATATGTCCTTGTAAGCCATTTTTTGCCAAGGAAAGATACAGAAGATCTTTTAGGCCTCCAATGCTTTCTGGAAGATTACCGAAAAATTGATTCCTTGATAAGTCTAGTTTCGTCAAGGCCTCCAAACTTTCAATATCCATAGGGAGATTGCCAGTTAATGAATTCAAAGACAAGTTTATTTGCAACATGCCAGTGAGTCTCCATAAGGTAGATGGTACAGCAGAAGTTAGCTGATTGGAGCTTAAGTCTAAATTTCTAAGGGAAGACAAGTTATATAGGCATTCAGGCAAAGAACCGTGAAAGCCATTATCATTCAAGATCAAAGCATACAGACTCTGTAACTGACACAGTTCAGGAGAAATATATCCTTGTAATTTGTTTTGAGGAACATAGAGTGCTTGTAGATTTTGTAGTCTACCAATTGTGGCTGGAAGAACTCCAGTCAATTCATTGCTGTCAAGGCCTAAATCTATCAGATTGCTTAAGTTACCAATCTCTTTAGGAAGACCACCCCTAATTCTGCAATTTATGGCATATAACTTCTGAACAGATGAAGAGAGGTTTCCAATAGAGATTGGAAGGCTGCCGGCCAAGGGATTATATGATAAGTCGATTACTCTCAACTGTCTGCAATTTGCCAAAGAATAGAGAAAGCCCCAAGGAGAATCAGAAGATTGTGCCGTCAAATTATTATGGTGCAGGCTGAGTAATTGGAGGGATTTTAGGTTTCCAAGTGTATCTGGTATATGGCCTGAAAAAAAGTTTGAGCCCAATTCCAGGAGTACGAGTTGGGAAAGATTGGATATAGAAGCTGGGATCACTCCATTAAGGTTATTTCCCCACAGGTAAAGCTCCTCAAGATTTGGAACCAAAAGACCTATGCTTGATTCAAGATGACCATAGAGGTTATTGTTTTCTAGTTCAATGACTCTTATGGTTGAGATGTTGAAGGTAGTGGGTGGCATTACACCAGTTAAATTGTTGAAAGCCAGATTCAGATAGTCCAGACTTTGTAGGTTGCCAATGTCATCAGGTATTTCACCTGCTACAGGGGAAACATTCATAACTTTATTATATGAAAATTCCTTAAAGAAACCAATATATGCAGGATAAGTTCTTCATATACTTGTTGATCTCTTGTTGTATGTGTGGTTATTTCTGTACCCCAATTTGTGTTGGATGCTTCTGTTTTGGTGCCATCATGGGCATTATTTGCCATTGCATTGGCTTTTTCTTTGTTCTTTTTTCCTTTGAGCTCTGCAAACCACTATGGGTAACCATGTAGCCTGAAGCATATGTCCTTCGTGTGCCATGTGTTTTTACAGTAGTGCATGTTCTGCTGGTTTTTTCCTTTTTTCGGTTTGAAATTTTTGGATTGTCTTTTAGTTGGCATAAAATGCAACGGTCGCACCTTCGGTGAGTTGATATTATGTACTTCCCTTTGTTTTTCAACACTAATTACCATGGAATAACTCTGTTCACAGCAAGTAAAGGTTCCATGA